AAAAAGCTCAACCCAAAGCATCTGGAGATGTTACTGCTTTCACAAGAGGGAGGGAGGAGGGGAGAGGATGTTTTCCCTGGGTGTATATTGCAAGCCAGGGGATAGGAGCTTGAAATATGTGATTTTATTTAATCTGCATGGTGGTTCTGTAAGGCATTATGACTGGGGCTCAGAGATTTCGAGTGACTTGCCCAAGGTAACACCCCAAGATCACTCTGACTCTAAAGTCCTGCCTCCAGTCTAATCCTCCTGCAAGTCCTCCAGAAATATCCTAATTCATCTACTTTTCTACACCTCCAGGGTTACCACCCTGAGACAAACCCCATCATCTGTCTCCCGGGCTGCTGCACGATCCGTCCAACTGGTATTCTCCCAACTTCTTCCCTTGTCCCCGTGCCCGCCACTGTCCATTACCTGCACAGTAGCCACTTTGCTGCCCACAGCAGTTCGAGGGCATCTCGTCACAAGATCTGAACTCCTCCCTGTGATGTCTTGGGACTTCTGTGATCTGGTCCTGCTGGGCTCTGCAGCTCATCTGTACTTTTCCCTCCACCCATCAAGCTCCAGCCGCCATGGGGCTGTTCTCCGAAGGACCCAGGGCCTCTGCCCATTTGGTCTTCTTTGCTTAAGGTACATTATTATCCATCATCTCTTTGCGTGGCTCACCCTTCCCAACCTACTGGTCTTGACGGAGATGGTGCCCTCCAAGCATCCCTGCTATTGCGCAGGCCGATGGGCCAGTGCAAAGACCCCAGCAGCACCCAGAGCCCTCCAAGATATGAGGTTAATTCTCCCAGAGGCACAGACACCTCTGTACACTGCCGTTACATTCTCGTCATGACCTCGAAGAGCGATAAATTGGTGAGGGAGGGGAAACCCTATGGAAGAAGCTGTCTACAAGGTGAGTGAATGAATCCTCGGCTTATTTGATTTTGGTCTCTCTGAGAGGGTAGGATTCCGTGACAGCTTGGTAATTGGCAGAAAAGAGAATTTCTGCACATTTTCCTCTGCCAGGCATGTCTACATCAGCCCTCACCCGTTTGTCCTGCAATGAAATAGGAATTTCTCTTCTGATTGGCCCAAACTGGCGCCACTGATGGGGTCACTCTTAGCAATGGGTCAGGCTGCTATGCCAGGCGCCCTTGGGTTTGCTCCCTGGTCCTGGTTCACAGATGCTGCCTTCTTGCCATATGCTCACATGGCGAAAGGGACAAGGGAGCTCTCTGGGGTCTCTGATAAGGGCATTAATTCCGTTATGACCGGATCACCTCCCAGAGGCTGTGTTTCCCAACAGTACCATCTTGCGGGTTAGAATTTCAGTACATGAATTTTAGGGGGACACAAATATTCAGACCATAGAAATGTGTGAAATGAATTCTTATTTAAAAATGCCATTGAAGTAAGCACAGAAGGTGGTTGTAGAAATAGATTCTTAGAATTGGGACGATGCAAGGATGGCAGTTTCTGTGCCTGGGAGAGGCTCACATATCAACTTGTCGCTGCCCCTGCAGAGTGGAAAGAATCCGGGAGTGTGCGTGTACTGAGGGGGTAAGCATGAAGTGCAGAGACACTTAGAGGAAATTCCATTAATTATGTCTGCCCGTGAGCACCCAGGAAGAAGCAGCTACTTGTTCTTTGTGACAGTTAGTAATCAAACACGGGAGAGGCCACATCATGCTTTCGTGTTCAAGGTTGGAAGAGAAGTGGGACAGACAGCAAATGGAGCCACGGAAGAGGCACAATGAGTGGAACGAATCTTCAAAGTGGCAGGTGTTCGCTAAATGTGGCCCTTGTTGGGGGCTGAGGTGGGAGTGTCTGCAGCTTCGACATCCACTGAGAACCTGCCTGCGGGCAGCCCCAGGGGAGTGATGGGGGACGCAACCGTGGACCATGCAGAGTGGCAAGTGCTGCGGACATCAAAGTGCACAATGCAGAGACACCGCACGGAGGGCTGCTGGGAGGACCTGCGGCACGGGGTGGAAGAAGGCAAGAAGACGGCAAGTTTCAATAACACTGCCTGGGAAAGGCTACTGACAAGGCTCCACGGTTAGAAACCCGGTGAGGGCCAATGGACCCTAGATTCCTCTGCAAATTCTTCCCCATGAAAACCCACCGGGCTGAATTGCCAACCTCTGAAACTCACTGGCTTTTGCAGGTGAGCAGGGCAGACGTGCACCTGCAATCTGCCCAACCAGTGTCCCAGATGTGTCTTCTAGGTCAGGGTCTGCAACCTTTTCTCTAAAGGGACGGATGGGGAATATTTTCAACTTTGTGGGCCACAGGGTCTCAACACTGCACTTGTGAGAAAACAACTGTAGACAATATGGCAACCAATAGACGCGGCCATTGGACCACTAGCAGAAGTTCTAGATCCCTGCTACTCTCAGTGTGGCCCCTGGCCCCGTATTGTCAGCATGTCCTGATGTGCCCAGATTTCAAGTCATAAGGTAAATCTTAACACAAATTCTTGCTTGGTCATCTATTTCTTTTATCAGATTATTTTTTCACCAGTGCTGGACTGGGAGTGGGGACTTGGGGGAGCGGGAAGGGAGAACTCCTTTGGAAATTGACATTCATGGAGACATTGCTCTGAAGGGGGTGGGGAGCATGGGGCACCCCACTGGGGACAGCCCCTGGGAAAGCACCGGGACCCAGAGAGAAAAAATCCCTGGGGAGTGACAATAGTCAGAAAGGAGACAGGAGGGTGCCAGAAGGAAGCAGTCCCTACGCAGAGAGTTGGTTGTGTCCGGCTCACCTTTGTTTCATTCGATCAAAAATTGTTTATTGCCCCTGTGAGCTGGGCACAGGAGGATGAGGTGAGGGGACAGATATGAGCAGGACCCAGTCTCTGTGGGACCCCGAGAGCAAGGACGGTGGCACATGGAGCAAAGAAACGCTGTGGTCTTTTGACAGCAATTGGAGTCACAGTGAATGCTTGCGTGAGTCCGTGGAGGAGATTACATCTGGCTTGGGACAGAGCTGCCATGAGTCCCGGGACACATCATGGAAGGGGAGGGATTGGCCTTGGAGAATTGGGTATTTTAACCTGTTCACGTGGGAATTGAAAAACATTTCCAATAGGATGGATGAAGGCAGGGCGGTGGAAAATCAAGGAGTCTGTATAAAAAAGAAAATACTGGTTCATGTGCATGCGTGTGTGTGTTTAAGCAGTAATTTGAGGAAATTGTAAAGAATGTTTTTCTCTAGGTAGATAATTTTCTGTGTTTTTTCCCTAGTGAATGGATTGTCCCCTTGTAGGTATCTGACGATAATAATAATGTAAAGTGGATCAGGTTGGGCTGAGCCTTGACTTGCTAAGCTAAGTTCGATTCCATCTGTGGGCAGGGGGGGCACATCGCTAACTTGGTGTCCGCACCACCACTCCGAGCTCTGTGTTTCTAATGACACTTGAGCCTCTTCACTCTAGGAGGAACGTGGCCCATCCCACCCAACCCCGAGTTAAGCAAAAGTTGTAAGAATTAATGTCCAAGAAACAGTTTATTCTGAACAAGGAATGCCGACTTGAACAGAGCCAAAAATCCAGTGTTTCTAGGGCTGCTTCCAGCTCCTGCCCTTAATTCATGAACTCAGCCCGATAAGACATCTCAGGAGCTGCCAGGGTCACAGTGAGGAGAGAGCAGCCCCATTATTTCCTGGAGGTGGGGACAGGACGATGCTGATGGGGAACTGAAGACTAAAAAGTGTGCAGTACAAGTGGACTTAGGCGGGCAACACAATCTAGAAATAGCCTCAGTTTAAAGGAGGAAAACAATGACTATTTCCTTTTTTAAATAAAAATATAACACCTCATTATACATTAAAATGTCTCTTAAGAAATAACAGATGACATCGACAGCCCCAAGGATTGATAATTTATCAAGTAAAAAGTGAAAAATGGTAGTTGGTTGAAAAAATAAAAATATAATTGAACTTCAACAGGATACACAGACATCAAAGACTCCAGGAAGAAAAGTTAAAAGAATCCTAAATATGAGGTTTGTTGCCACAGAAAAGTGACCTGCCAAGTGACTGAAATAACAAACTATCTCCAAATACTGATGACGACGGTGCTGTAGACAGAAAAGGCTACCATTTAAAGAGTCGTGCAGTGCACTGGGTGCGTCAAGTACAGATCTTATCTAACCCTGTAACAGCCCTGCAAGGTTGGTTTCATTATTCCCATCTGAAAACAAAATTGAGGCAAGCGACACTCAGAGTGATCACGTGCCTTGCTAAGGTCTTCCGATCAGTAACCGGCAGGGTTGGATTCTGGACGCAAGCGGATTCCAGCCTCTCGGCTTCACCCGCCGCGCTGCAGTGTCTCCCAACTCGAAGGCAAGCTGCTCCCTGAACACATCAGGGAGCTTTTGTGTGAGTCCAGTTTGCTCCTGGAACAAACTTTCTCAGCACCCATGCTTCCTAAGTTATAAATAGGGAGACACCCCGTCAATGCTGGTTGGGCACCCTCTGTAAGGCGATACTAATGAGCTTATTTTACACACCCTTCCCAGGAGGGAAAGCCTGGCAGGCTGATAGACACGGAGCGCTCTGCTGCAGCGCGGGGCTTTCGGGGGAGCACTGATGACACTCTGTAGGAGTGACAGATGATCAGTGTCCAATCTGAATGGGCACCTGCATGCCATCCCAGCACTGGGGCTGGGTGTGGGTGGGGACAGTCTTCTGGGAACAAGGGAAGGAGTGAGCCCACAGCACTGAGCCCTGAGGGGCCAGGCTGGTGCACACTGCACCGTCTTAGAAGCCCAGAAAGACTGTAGTCTAGCAGAGAATGCAAATGGAGACACTTCAGGTTTTGCTCCAGGATTTGGGAGTGGTATTTTCACAGGCGGGGCAAACATATCAGACCTTTATTTCACCTTTGGGGCTGCATTTTCCAAAAGTACCCTCTAACAATCAAGGATGACCCAAACTGCAGAATCGTGATGGTCTAACTGCTTTGGAGGATGGGAGTGCACTTCAAATACTAAGGTTGTATTCTGCATGTACAAATAATGTTATAAATACCAAAGGTTTTGCATGTCTGCTACCTAATTGGATTCTCACAATCCTCTTGTGATTTGAAGTGGGGCAGAGATGTTTAACCCCTTTGGCAGATGCAGAAAACTGAGGCACAGGGAGGGTGTGACTTGTCTGAGGTCACACATTGAACCAGTCAGGGAGCTGGGACCAGAACCCAGGCTCCCAGCTCCAAGTCCAAGGCTCTTTCTGCGTGTGATGTTTTCAGGGCTGAGGCAGGGACAATCGGGCACAGAGAGGGGCTCTGGGCGGGCAGGGCAGAGTCGTGTGCAGTCCCTCTGGGCAGCTGCAGGTAGGGGCTTAGCTGCTGCAGCCGTGGGAGCAGGTGTGGCCAAAGATGTTGTTGTTGTACCCATCCTGGAGCTTGCCCTGGGCCCGGCCCCCAGCTCGGCCTTCTGTGTCCGAGAGCTGGCTGCCCTGCCCCTGCTGCCTCCGGAGCCTGCAAACAAACACAGCACATGTCTGAGTTAGTTGTGGGGAGCAGGTTGCAGAGGAGACACGCTGGCCAGGCAGGGCGACTGGGGAGCCTTCGGCCCAAACCTTCTGCGCTCTGGAGCCAGACAGGCCTGAAGTCGAAGCCTGGCTCAAGTGCCCTTGAGTGAGTTACTTAACACACAGAGTCTCAGTTTCTCTGTCTACAAAATATAGATAATAATTCCCGCCTCATGGCTCCTTGTGCAATTTCCTTGGGATCATATATTTATATTGCCCACGGTCACACAGTCGGAGGAGGTGGTGGGCCCAGTACACACGTTTTGGGTGCCCACTATAGTACCAGCACCTAGGCGCAGGGGATGCTCTGTAAGCAGAACAGTCATGTTCCCTGTGCTCAAGGGGCTTATTGTCTAAAGGGGAGACAGACACTAACCCAATAATCCCACAAATAAATGTCCAAACCGTTAAATACAGACTTACAAAACATCCCGTTACAAACTGTGTCGAGAGCGTATGATTCTGAACATTGCATTTCCTAGCAGCTTGCCACTTGGTCATCTTCCGTATGTGGGAAGATACCAGTATCCCTCCGTTTCTAATCTTGAAGTTCAGGTTCATCCGCTATACCACCACTGTCGTTGCATGTGGATGGTGCAGGCAGGGAATGGGACTGAGGCATTTGAAGAGGCAGAGAAGCTTTAGAACAGTGAAGAACACAATGTAAACCCTGGCTCTTGACACTGCCTCCCTGGGTTATGTCGTCAACATGCTTTATCTTCTTCTGGGCCTCAGTTTCCTTGTATTAGACTGGAGCAGAAACCATTCACTTTGCAGGAGGTGAGGGGGGTCAGAGAGAATGCGTGTGAAACATCCAGTGCAGGCTGGAAGCAATAACTACTACTAGTTCTACCTCATCCTGAAAGACACAGGGTTGAGGCCGAACTTACCTAATGGTACATTAGCGTGTTTCTGTCAAACACAGTGAGGGAGAAGATCTGAAATGAAAGGACACCAGTGGGGTAAGGCGCAGGAGGACGGAAAGCTCACAGGGATAATGGCCAGGTCCTCTCCGGAGTGATGGCCCCTCCACTACGGCTCATCCTTAGGCAGAGCTATTTTAAGGAGTAGAATGAGCTGTTTCAGGTCTCCCCTTCTCGGGGGGGAGGGACACGTGGAACACTGTCACCATGTGTACTGGAAGCCTAGAGCAGGAACTAAACGAGGTGGGGGCTGTGTCCTTGCCACTTGCTACCAGGTTCAGTGTCAGCCAGGAGTCAGAATCAAGAAGGAAATACCCTTCTAGAGGCATCCGCCCATCTACCTGTAGGCCTGCAATGCTAGGATTCTAATCTAATTCTGGGGTTTCCAAAGCCTGTGTTATTCCCACTACATCTGCACTCGTACCCACCTACCCAACCACTCACTATCCATTTACCATCCACCCACTCATAAATATGTCCACCCACCCCTCTGTTTCCTATCTACCTATCCATCCGTCCACTTACGTATCCATCTGCCACTCATCTACCCCATCTGTCTGTCCATACATTCCCATGCGTTCATCCATCTATCCTCACTCTCTATCTGCCCCACCCAACTATGTGAACACTTCTTCTCTACCTACCCATCACGCACCCACACATTCACATAGTCGCCCGTCCACCCACCTATCCACCTCATCCATTCACCATCCACCCCTCCATCATCCATCCGTGCACCGCCCCATCCATTCACTCATCCATCCGCTCACTATCCACCCATCCCCTGGGGCCACCCTGCCTCCCCCTAGCCTTCCACTCCTCTTTTCCACCAGCCTTATCTGTGTGCCAGGCTCACTGTCGAAGGAGTCAGGGAGCAGGACAGGGAGCAAACAGTGGACTCTCATTGTGGCAAAGTCTCTGCTGGAAGGAAGCCGTGCGGCACAGCATTACGGGCCTGGGCTCAGAGCCAGGCTATTGGTTCTAACCCTGGTTCTGCCACTTACTAGGCGTGTGACTTTGGGAGGCTGGATTCAAACCCAGAGCTGTCTGTCTCCAAGACCCCCGCTCTTCCCCACTGAATCTTGTGCCACTTAATCTGACCTGGAAATAAGAGCATGGGGTGATTTTTCCACACTCCAAAGGAATTAGAAAGGCTCACATTGCTCAAATGGGAATCCCTGAAGCAAGACAGAGATATGAAACCATCACGGCTCTCCCTGAGAGCTCGCTTGCAAGACTAGCCCACGGCCCAGCTATCTACAGCCTAGGAGGAAATGGAAAAGGATCTCACATATACTACTCCATGCAGCTCAATTCTACGGATGCAAATCGGCTAGTTATCTCTGCAGTGGAAGAACATTTAATTTCTCAGCCTACTTATCAAATTAATTGTCAGCTTTGTGACTAGAATTCCTAGTGGTGGATGCGAGCGCTGTCAACCTCCGGAACCCAACAGTCAGATGTCAGAGGAAGTCCGCCGTGACTGAGAGCATCAATCAATAAGAAACACATTAAACTTTGTGACAAATAGGGCTGGAAGCATTTTTTTTTTAAAAAGGCAAAGCGTTAAGTAGGAGTGAAATAAAATGGCTAGCAGCCAAACTCACTTCAAATCAGCTACTGCACACGCAGGATGGAGTTAGTGTGACGCGGCGCTAATGCCCAGCAGGCCAGCCACAGGCGAGGCCTGGCCTCTGCCCCTAAACGAGAGACAGCTTTCTCTGTGCACCATGGTTTAAGGAAAACAAAACGTTTTAAAGTACTTCCGCACCTGCTCATATCATTTCGCTTGCTCTTGTCTCTTTCCTGACTTTATGGAATTCCACAGTGGCAGTGTGATGCAGTAGGAAGAGTGCAGACTTTGGAGTCCAGCAGGATTGGATCAGAATCCTAGCTTTGCCATTTACTGGCTGAATAGCCTAGGGAAACTGGCTCAACCTAAAGCCTTTCTTTCCTTATCTGTGACATGGGGGTAATGACACAGCCTTAAAGGGCAGGATGAATGAGTGTGTGTCATCTGTCGGCTCTGTGGGGGCAGTTGCGAAGGTCAGCTATCTTTGTGATGATGACTGCAGTGTGGATGTACTCCCATTTCACAGATGGAGCAACTGAGGATCAGTACAGCTAACCTCCTGCCATCACTTGGATGAGTATCCCCTGACGAGTAGCCCCTTGCACAGCTGGCTCTGCAGGCCTCGTCCTGGGGGTCAGGGCAGAAGTGGAGGGTTCTGGGTTGGAGCGTCTGAGGGTCAGGACCTAAAGTGGGTGAACAGGACAACAGGCCAAGGGGGAGGAAACCCAGCCCCAGGAGTCACGGGGTGTCCAGAGAGGCCCATGAGCTAGGGAAGACCAGGGCATGGACCTGGCAGCTGGAACCTGGTCTCCTATCTGGGGTGGGCCTCTCCTCCACTGGGCGAGGGCCACTGCATGCCATCTGTGGCTTCGCAGCCCTCAGCACAGTGACCAGCCTGGGCCAGGTACACAGTGTGTGCTGGCTGGATAGGTAGGCACATAGGGAATAAACGGCCCAGCCCGGCTTTTACCCTTCATTAGCAGGGTGTGTGCGCAGGTTGGCAGGCTCTGCCTCAACCTCCCAAGGGGGAAGGAGGCTTAGTTGTAACTAAATGGAGTAACGGGGTGTCCTAGGGGGGCAAAAATTGAATTGTCATTTGCAGACCTGGAGACCTGGCAGCCTGGGTGCATGTCGACTTGCGTGAGTTAACCTGCACGGAGCTTTTGTCCTTGTGGCTGAAGGAGTTGGCATAGGTTGTTTATTGTTTTGTGTGAGTGTGCATGTGCGTGAGAGTGTGCATGCGCGGGCGTGTGTGTGTGTGTGTGTGTGTGTGTGTGTGTGTGTGTTGATTTAAAAAATGGAGACAAGCCAAGTATGGTGGCTCACACCTGTAATCATAATACTCTGGGAGGCCAAGGCAGGAGGATTGCTTGAGGCCAGGAGTTCGAGACCAGCCTGAGAAAGAGCAAGACCCCATCTCTACAAAAAATAGAAAAATTAGCTTGGTGTGGTGGCTCATACCTAAAATCCCAGCTACTTGGGAGACTGAGGCAGGAGAATCACTTGAGCCCAGGAGTCCAAGATTTCAGTGAGCTGTGATGGTGCCACTGCCCTCTAGCCTGGGTGACGAGTGAGACCTTGTCTCAAAACAAAACAAGCAAACAAACAAATAAACAAACAAATAAATAAATAATGGAGACAAGATGATGTCTGACACAGCGCCTTATCGAATGGCACTATATTGGTCTGATAGTTTTGCGTGTAATTAATGTTACCAGCAAACACTGTGTAGTGCTGACTATGTCACAGGGGCTATTAAGTAGTTAACAAGTGTATCATTTGTCCTTACAATGATCCTATGAGGCAGTTATTAATACCTCATTTTACAAATGAGGACACTGAGGCACTAGTGTGAGGTGTAAGGTCACAAAGCTAGCATTGATCAAGATTCGAACCCAGGCAGTCTGGCTGCAGAGTCTGCGCTCTTAGCTGCTTGTGTATACCACCTCAACAGTCACACACACACACACACACACACACACACACACACACACAGACCAAAAAAACAGAGTTGAAATTACCAGAAAGTTTTGGAAGGACACACACCAGACTGAATAATGGTTATCCGGCTGGCGATACAAGGTGAACACTGAAGAGGGAAAAAGCCAAAAGTGATCTGGTCCATTGTGCGTGCACGGCAAGAATCCCCTCTCTACAATCCTTATGGAGACCCCGCCAGTCTCACCAAACCCTGCTTCCACCTCCCAAGACAGCCCACTCTGTCTGGGAATAGCTCAAATCCTTAGAAACTTTCCTTCACATAGAGTCAAAACTGGGAAGTCTGCTGCCTGACAGCCACTCCCCGACTGGCCTGAAATCTGCTCTCTGGAGTTATTGCGATGACCTGCCGGGACCAGAAAGAGCAGCGTGTCAGGTCTGGGCATTGGTCCCCAGCTCCCTCCCTGCACTGTCACCTTGGGCTGCTGGGAGCATGGTGGTCACTGCTCAAAT